AAAATAAAGTCTTAAACAAATAATTCATTTTGAGGACTCCCAGTAGACAATAGTAGATTATATTTATATAGTCAATATCTGAAAGAATATGTAAAGTATGCAAAACAAATATTCAACAGATACTTATCTAGTGCATAACAGCTTAATGGAACCTGATTTAAAAATCCTTCTTTTATATCTTTATAAAAAACTAAAAAAAATTATTAGTCTCAATAACTAAAATTACTTTTCTGTCATCAAACTCTCAAGTCCATTAGGATTATTAAAACACTTTTCATTCCAATACTCATTCAATTTAACACCAAGTGCAGCCATAGTAGATCGGTAAAGTTGTGTGTAATCAAAATCTTGCTTATTATGGGTTGGCTGCAACCAGCTGCATTCAATAACACCAATTACACCAACACCGGCTTTGTTAGCCTAAATGAAATATTTTTAAAAAACTTTTTAATTGTTCACAATTAAAACAAAAAAATGATGACAATTATTAAATGTGTATAAACATTTTTTTATACAAAAATTGTATAATGTATAGCCTTTGACTGTGCACACTTAGAGCAGTTAAAAGGCCTTATTTTTTCCCTTGTTGATGCATTGAACTGTAAGCATTAACTTTATTCAAGTCAACTGAGTAATTATTATGCAGTTTTTTAATTAAAAATATTTGTAAACATTTAAATATACAGTTTCATGTTTTGAAAATTAATCAACAAATGCGACCAATAAAAGATAAATTAGAGAAACATTAAAATCTAGCAGAACTTTTAATAATCATTTAAATGATAGTGTCTATTGGCACGGCCGCCGTGTACAACTTCTAAAAAAGACTATTAGCTCGGCTGCCATATAAACAGTTAAGAAAAGGTGTTTGCACTGTCAAATTGGCAAAATTTGACCGTGTCAAAATTTGACAAATAGGACTGCGCTGTAACTTTAGAATTAATTAATTTACAAAACAAATTAAAAGCTGAAAAGGAAGATCTGAAAGAAAATGACAGCTTTGGTAATTATATAGAATTCTAAAAAAATTGTAAAAAAAAACGTGAAAAGAACAAGTAAAATTAAAAACTTATTATTAAAACCCACTGCTTTAATATGTTTTAAAAACACAAATTTTGCAATAAATTTTTTCTGATAATACTTTTTTATTTTGTTAACATTCGGCTGTATGTGTGTGTAAAATAAGAAAAAATATCCTGGAAGAGGCAAGACTTGAACCTCCGACCTTCAGTTTACAAAGTCCACGACTTTACCAAATAAGCTAAACGCACGTTTAAGTGTTTAAACAAGTATACTTATTTTATTATTATTATTATTAGTATTATTACTTATTTTATTATTATTATTATTATTAGTATTATTATTAGTATACTTATTTATAAATTTTAAATTCTTCTATCCATATAAACAATAAATTTAATTAAAATTAACTAAATTAATCAATTTATTGCATAACTAATTATTGAATATTGTATTGCCATCAAGCAAAAGTATGTATGCAAAATTTGAAGAAAATCTATCATCAGGAAGTGACTAAAAAATTGATTGCAAGATTTGGTTTTGCGGCCGTGCGAATAGTCTTTTTAGAATGGGAACACGGCGGCCATGCAAATAGCCTTTTTAGAATTGGAACACAGCGGCCATGCGAATAGCATCGGCCATTTTAAATAGACTCAAAAAAAACTTTGAAAAC